CAGGATGAGGGGGGTCAGTGTAGCCGTAGAGTTTGGGTGAGTCTATTTAAATGTTCTTATTTATATTATTTATAACTTATGCTTTTCACTATTTATTTGCCAAGACTGGCAGGGCCGTGCCAGTGCCGGCTTGCAGGAGGAGGTGGCAGAGCTGCAGCGGAGCCACCGTGCCCAGGACACAGCCGCAGTGACACAGACGGGGACAGGACCCCGAGAGCGGACCACGCAGCGGGCACGGAGGCAGGAGGGGATGAGACGGCCCAGCAGCCCGGGCTCCGCGCCCTGCAAGCCTCCCCCGAGGGCAAAGCCCTTACTCCTTTGTCTTCCTCGCTGCCACAGGCTCCTGCTCTGCTCCCTGCCCCACGCCAGCCCGGTGGGGACAAACCAGCCATTCTATGCAACCTCCCGGCGGAGCATCCCCGCACCGGCCCCGGTGCGAGCACCGTGCGCACGGCATCCCGGAGCGGGGCCCGACCCACGCCTCCGCTTCCTACCTCGGGCCGCGAGCTGCCACGGCCCCATCACCCCCCCCGTGCCGGTCCCTGACACCGTCCGACGTTCAGCCCGGCACCCCGCGGGGCCGCGTTCGCGTACCCCCCCAACACTGTCTTCCTGCGCCGTCTTCCTCCCTGCACCGTCTTCCTCCCGCCACCTCGGTGCCTGCATCGCCACGGCCGCGGGCTCGACGCCTCCCGGGGACATCCTTCTCCCAGTCCCTTGCTGCCCTGGCGTGGGGGTCACGCACCCCACGCCCGAGGGAAGAGCATCCCCCCCGCCACGCAGGCACCCCACCAGCGAGGACGCAGCGGTTCAAGGCTTTCCCTGCGATGTCGGCTCCTTTCTGCGGCAGCACCGCGTCCCTTGGCCGGGCAGGCACGGAGCGCCGAGCCTCTGCCCCCTGTCTATACTGTAAATAGCAGATACTACAGCAATAATTTTCCGTGCATGATATAGATTTTTTTCTGCCAGGTTTTGTACTCGCCAGCCCCCAGTAAGACAAGTCTACTGAGAACCGGCCGCCCGCAGTATTACTTGTAATGCAATTCAGGGATATAAAAGGGATTTCTGCCACTAACTCTGTGTCTCGAGGGATTTGTACAGGCGGTGGCGGGTGGTGGCACATGAGCTGCTGGCTTGCCCATCCCTCAGTGCCCTCTGCCCATAACCAAGGGCAGCTCTGGGCAGGAGCATCGTGGAGAAAACTTCCACCCCAAAACTCCCCCCCTCCTGCTTCCTCTGCAGCCCCACACCCCTCTCACTGCCTCCCTTCCCCACAGATGGGTGCCAAAGGGGGAGGAGGGCAAATTATTTTCATCCTCCAGCTCATCAGCAAAAACCCTCACTGACCCCTGCGCTCCCGGTGACACCGGTGCTGCCCCACGGGCGAGAGCGCAGTCATTCACCTGCAAAATCATCACCAGATTTATCCTGAAAAAAAATCATCCTGGAGCCTCACAAGCCCATCCCCAATTGTCACTGTCCCTCTCACGGGGCAGCAAGCCACTCAGTGTATTTCTGAGTCAGCAGTGGGGCTGGGGACCCTCTGTCTCCCCCCGGGGAGCCAGGGTAAGGGGGCTGGGAGCAGCCAGTGCCACAGCCCCACAACAGATCCAGGCTTCCCCAGCTGCGGCGGCCAGTGGGGCAGGAGACCCAGTTCTCCCCAGGAGCCTCTTCACCGTTTGGGACACTGGTCTGGAGAAACGACCTAGAAAATCTGGGGGCTGGAGCACCACAGTGTCTGCCCGGCCACAGGGCATCCTTCCTTTGCTGCTCGGCTCTGGGGCTGTTTCAGGCCACTTCTTCCTCACCAAGGACCTGGCACAGACAGGTGATGGAGATGCCACAGGCTGATCCTTGGTGCCCTGGCAGGGCCACGATAGAGCAGAGACCCCCCCGGGCAGCCCCAGGATGGGGACCCCCATCACATGGAGCAGCCTTGGCGCGGGGGGGCTCAGCCACTGTGTGCTAAGGGGTGCCCTGCTGGGACAGGGAGCCCCGAGGGCAGCCCCGACCGTAACCTCACCGGGGCGAGGAGGAGCAGGCACCCGGCCAACTGGCGTTGGCACCCGTCCCGGCAGCAAGGCCCTGCCTCTCCTGCCCCTTCACTGTGACTCTGCAAAACGGTGGGGCGGTGGCGGTGACGATGACGATGGCCGGGCAGGGAGGAAGCAGAGGGGCCCGGCTGGCTGCCGCGCTGCTCAGGGCGGAGCGGCGGGCTCGGCCGGCTGGGCAGGAGGAAGGACGAGGTCGGGTCCTGGTAGCAGCCATGGCGGAGGACGGGGACCGGAGCATCCACACGCAGCACATCTCAGCCGTGCACAACGTGCCCATGAGTGTCCTCATCCGGCCCATCCCTGCCGAGCTGGAGCCGGGCAAGGTGCAGAGCCTGATGGAGACCCTGCAGGTGAGCACCCCCCTATCCCCAGGGGGTGTTGGGGCCACTGACCTCTGCCACCCCGGGGGGCACTGCCGGGGAAGCTCTCGGCACTGGGACGTGCCGGGGGGGTGTGTGGGGCCGGGGAAGCTCTCGGCACTGGGACGTGCCAGGGGGGTGTGTGTTTCTCTCGGGGATCTTTCCTTTTACCAGGAGCATCCTGAGCGGGTGCCCCCCATCGACGTGCTCTGGATCAAGGGCAGCCAGGGCGGGGATTACTTCTACTCCTTCGGGGGCTGCCACCGCTTCGCCGCCCACCGGGCGCTCAACCGGGAGACCATCCCTGCCAAAATCATCCCGTCCACCCTCAGCGACCTCCGCACCTACCTGGGCTCCTCCACACCCAACCTGCGCTAGCCCGGTGCCCCGTGGGCTGAGCTGTGGGCCTCATCCCGGGGCTCCGTGAACCTCCGGTGGGGTCGTGGTCGCCCCAGTTCATGGCGATGGGGGGTGTCCCCGTGGTGTTGGGGTACCCCCGCCTCCTCCCCTCCTCCGGCCGGGATGGGAGGAGAGTCTCGCTGGCAGCGGGAGGCGCCCGGGGCGGTGTGGCGCGGCGGGGCCACCAGGTGGCGCTATTGTGCCGCGCTGCGCCGCCCCGAGCGGCGGCGGGGACCGGGATGGGACGGAGCGGGATGAACCGGGACCGGGACGAGACGGACCGGGAGGAGAGGGGAGGGGGGAGACGACGGGATGGGACGAAGCCGGCCAGGACGAACGGGGACGGGTTAAACCGGGGCACGGTTCAACCGGGACGGGCTGGGCTCAACCGGGGCACAGCTCAACCGGGACAGGGTGGGCTCAACCGGGGCACGGCTCAACCGGGGCACAGCTGAACAGGAACGGGCTGAACCGGGACTTGAGGGGCTCAACCGGGGCACAGCTCAACCAGGACGCAGCTCAACCGGAACGAGTTGAACGGGGATTTGAGGGGCTGAAGTGGGGCACGACTCAACCGGGACAGACTGATCCGGGACGGGACGGGTTGAACCGGGGCACGGCTCAGCCGGGACTGACTGAATCGGGACGGGTTGAAACGGGGCACGCTGGAACTGGGCCATGTCATCTGGGCACAGCCGAACCGGGAAGGGATACAGGCAAACCGGGACACATCCGATTCGGGACACAGCCGTACCGGGAGGAGGCACAGCTGAACCAGGCACGGCCAGTTCATCCTCTGCCTGGATTGGGAGCACCCTGGGCTGTGTCTGCCCCAGAACTGTCTGTCCCCATCCCTGGACACATCCCACAGACCCCTTCTCTGTGGGGGATGTCTCTGGAATGGGACACCCACTGCTGTACCTGGAATAAAGTCAATGAAACCCCTGTGGCTATGGAAGCTGGTACTGGGAGAGGCTGGGGTCAGGAGCAGGCATGCAGTGGCATGGCATGGCATGGCATGGCATGGAAGCCTGGAGCCTGCAAGAACAAGTGGCTGCAGGCACATGGGACATTCTGTGTCAGGGATTATCAGGAGCAGGCATGCAGTGGCATGGCATGGTATGGCATGGCATGGAAGCCTAAAGCCTGCAAGAACAAGTGGCTGCGGGCACACGGGACAGGTGCTGTGTCAGGGGATGGATGCTCTGCAAAGGGACAGATGCTTTGCTGGGGGACGGCTGCTCTGGCAGGGAATGGATGCTCTGAGAGGGGACTCACGCTTTGCAGGGGGCTGGAGGGTCTCTGAGGGGATGGATGATGTATCAGGATGGATGCTGTGCTGGGGGATGGGTACTGTTCTGGGGGATGGATGCCAGACCACACCGCCAGGCAGATGAAGTCAGAGTCAGCTCTGGCCTGGCTGTGGGAGCACACGCAGACTGGGCTGCTGTCATTTCTGCAAAAGCCACATCTTCACCCCATGTGCAGGCTGGAAAAACCACCCGGAGCATCCCCTGGGCGTCTCAGCATCCACCCTGGGCTGTGTCTGCCCCAGAACTGTCTGTCCCCATCCCTGGACACATCCCACAGACCCCTTCTCTGTGGGGGATGTCTCTGGAATGGGACACCCACTGCTGTACCTGGAATAAAGTCAATGAAACCCCTGTGGCTATGGAAGCTGGTACTGGGAGAGGCTGGGGTCAGGAGCAGGCATGCAGTGGCATGGCATGGTATGGCATGGCATGGAAGCCTAAAGCCTGCAAGAACAAGTGGCTGCGGGCACACGGGACAGGTGCTGTGTCAGGGGATGGATGCTCTGCAAAGGGACAGATGCTTTGCTGGGGAATGGCTGCTCTGCCAGGGAATGGATGCTCTGAGAGGGGACTCACGCTTTGTGGGGGGCTGGAGGGTCTCAGAGGGGACGGATGATGTATCAGGATGGATGTTGGGCTGGGGGATGGGTGCTGTTCTGGGGACGGATGCTCTAGATGCTCTGCAAAGGGACAGATGCTTTGCTGGGGGACGGCTGCTCTGGCAGGGAATGGATGCTCTGAGAGGGGACTCACGCTTTGCAGGGGGCTGGAGGGTCTCTGAGGGGATGGATGATGTATCAGGATGGATGCTGTGCTGGGGGATGGGTACTGTTCTGGGGGATGGATGCCAGACCACACCGCCAGGCAGATGAAGTCAGAGTCAGCTCTGGCCTGGCTGTGGGAGCACACGCAGACTGGGCTGCTGTCATTTCTGCAAAAGCCACATCTTCACCCCATGTGCAGGCTGGAAAAACCACCCGGAGCATCCCCTGGGCGTCTCAGCATCCCTTCGGAGCCGGGAAGCTCAGTCCAGGGAGGGGAAAGGCCACTGACTCACCCCACCGCGCTGTGAGTCAGCAGCGGGACTGGGACAGGAACCACGGCTGGACACTCCTGGCCTCTCTCTGCCCCCTCAGCCACGCTCCTCCCCAGACGGATCCCGTCCTCCCGGGGCAGAAACAAGCTGGGGAGAGGGGCTGGGAGCAGGGCACAGCCCCCCCCCCTCCCCGGGCAGCAGCTCTGCAGGGCAGCATGCAGGGTGGGAGCTGGCAGCACTGCCCGCTGGATGGGGCACACTTTGCCCACTGCCTGCCAGGAGGGTGTTTCTGCAGGAGCCACTGGGGAGGAAAAACAGGGTGGGCTGGGGGCTGCTGTGCCAGAGCCTCCCTCTGGCCTCCCTCCTTCCTTGCCTCCGTGGAGGAAGGGGCCGGAGGGAGACTCTGGGGCGGCAGAGCTGCATGTGCCGCATCAAAGCCACTCTCTGCCGGGAGGAAGCCCTGCAAACGTTCACGGAGAGAGCAGCCCTTGGCCCAGGGCTCCCTGATGGGCCATAAATTTCTCGGAAGAATTGTGGCGTGCTAAAAAGTTTCCTCTTGTTAGAGAGCAGGGCAGGGGGAAGGGAGGAGGTGGCAGCTCTTGTGGCAGCGGCGCGGGACATTCCCCTCAAATGGGTGCCCCATGGCAGGGACTGGTTTTTGCCTGCGCCTTGGGCTGTGCCCCCCAGTGCTGGCCATTGGCCTCTCTCTGCCCCCTCAGCCACGCTCCTCCCCAGATGGATCCCGTCCTCCCGGGGCAGAAACAAGCTGGGGAGAGGGGCTGGGAGCAGGGCACGACCCCCCCTGGGCAGCAGCTCTGCAGGGCAGCGTGCAGGGTGGGACCTGGCAGCACTGCCCACTGGATGGGGCACACTTTGCCCACTGCCTGCCAGGAGGGTGTTTCTGCAGGAGCCACTGGGGAGGAAAAACAGGGTGGGCTGGGGGCTGCTGTGCCAGAGCCTCCCTCTGGCCTCCCTCCTTCCTTGCCTCCGTGGAGGAAGGGGCCGGAGAGAGACTCCGGGGCGGCAGAGCTGCATGTGCCGCATCAAAGCCACTCTCTGCCGGGAGGAAGCCCTGCAAACGTTCACGGAGAGAGCAGCCCTTGGCCCAGGGCTCCCTGATGGGCCATAAATTTCTCGGAAGAATTGTGGCGTGCTAAAAAGTTTCCTCTTGTTAGAGAGCAGGGCAGGGGGAAGGGAGGAGGTGGCAGCTCTTGTGGCAGCGGCGCGGGACATCCCCCTCAAATGGATGCCCCATGGCAGGGACTGGTTTTTGCCCGTGCCTTGGGCTGTGCCCCCCAGTGCTGCCCACCTCCCATGGGCTCTGCTCGCCCCTGTCTCCCCGGGTTTGTGCCCCTTACAAAGGGGGCTGGGTGTGAGGCAGCTCAGGAGAGCTGGGGCCACACGTGTGGGGATGAACTGAGGTTGCCTGGATCCTCCAATCCCCCCTCCCACAAGCCTGCACCCCACGGGGTCTTCTTCCAGCTGGGAGACCTGCTTCAGGGTCCACTCTTCAGGCTTCTCATCCCCTGCAAAGCTGTGCCAGGCCATCCCTGCCAGCCCCGCAGGTGCCCCGGGACCAGTGTCACGGGGCTGGGTGGCACCTGCACATCCCCAGGGCTAGCACGGTGTGAGCTGACCCCCAGCCCGTGCTGCCAGTGCTGCAAACCCCTGTCTGGCACAGGAGCAGGTCTTGCCAAAGCTGGCAATATCCTTCTCAGCTCTGTCCGTCCGTCCCTCCATCCCTCCACCTGTCCCCCTTCCTTCCCTCTGCCTGACCCGCGGGGTCTCCGGTGTCGCCGGCTGACAGCCGATCCCGGCTGCCTCCAATCCATTCGTTCCAGGGCAGGAACAAAGGCGCTTTGTGGGCTCCCCCCGGCCCAGGCTGGGTAGGAGGGGGGGGTCCCGGCTCCGGAACTGGGACAGACTTCCCCGCGCGACAGGCGTGTAATGCCTTCCAGACCAGCAGCCCCAGCCCGCAGGTACAGCCCGCCGGGCAGGGGGGGGCTTGGGGCTCCCCACACTGCCTCGGGGACCCACTGGGACACCCTGCCACAGCCCTCACCCCAGAGCTGCTCTCCTGCTCCCCAAAAGGTTTCACAGCACCCCATCCCCTTGAGCCTGTTTCACTGCTCCTTCCCACCCAAAAGGGTTCCAGGGAGGGCTCCTCGAGATTGTCCATGACAGGGCAGTTCTGCAGGACTGACCTGAACTGCCCCAAAATTGGGGACCAGTCCTGGCCATTCCTGTGTGCTGGGGGGGCTGACTGGGGGCTGTGAGTGAGCAGGTCCAGGCAGCACCCTGGGGGTTTCAGTGGGATGGGATGGGATATGATGGGATGGGATATGATGGGATGGGATGGATCGGGTCAGTTTGGTGTTGCTTCACCAGGGCCCAACAGGGTCAGGCCCAGTGTCCTGGTAGCCACATGTGCCGGCGTTGCCGTGGGTCTGGAATCCATTTGCCTCGCCGGCAGCAGTGTTTTCCCAGCAGGGCCAGAGTGGCCCCGTGGGGCTGGGGGCAGCCCTGGCCCCCTGGCCCATCTGCTCCCTGTTTATTTTCTTACACTTAAGTATCACCTCGCAGATAAACACTCCCCGGAGCGGGGGGCAGGGGGCATTTCCCCACCAGCAGAGGGAGGATCCAGCCCTCGGGGCACCCAGCACCCCAACCCTAGGGATGTCCCCCCCGACTAGTCAGCCTGCGGGTTGGGTCATGGCTGTGGCTGCCACCTCAGGCCATGTCCCCTCCATGCCATGTGTCCCATGCAGGGTCCCATCCTCCCTTTGCCCACCATGCATGCCCGAAACACCACCTGGTGCTGCCCAGGGCTGTGCAGCGTGGCACCGCTGTGCCGGGATGGTAGCCCTTGGCCCACGGGTCAGTTTATTTGGCTGGATTATCTGGGAGAGCTGTGATGCCAAACTCAACCGTGTCCTGGCACCCGCTCAAGTCGGCCGCACGACGCAGCGACCGGCAGGAGGTTTGCGATGCCACGGCCCCCAGCTGCGCCTCGTGCCGCCCGGCTGAGTCAGACCCGAGGTGCTGAGGGCCAGGGAGGGGGGATGCTGGGGAGAAGAGGGGGGGTCCAGGCACGGGGACGCACGTCCTGTCCCACGCGCCCGCCAGGCAGCACAGGAAAACCCGGCTGCTGCCACGCGTCCTCCCGTCCCAGCGGCAGCAGCATCCGCAGGCAGCTGGGCAGGCAGCACTCACTGCTTCCCGTGGCTCCCGTTGCTCTCCTGGGCAGGACTGACGGCTCCTTCTGTCCATCTGTCCTCCCGCCCGCAGGACCTGGTGGGGCAGTGGTCATGCACACACACACACACGTGTGCCAACCTTGGGAGGGCTCTGCAGCAGGAGGCGGTGGCAGCTGGGGTCTGTACGGCCGTGAACATGCAGATCTGATCCACACACGTGTGCACATGTACATACACACGTGTGCAACTGCCTACACTCATGCACACACCCCCCAGACTTACATATATCCATGCACACACGTGTATGGCTATGCGCATCCATGCACACATGCCCACACACACACGTGTACAGATGCACGTCCAGACCAACACATGCAGATCCATGCACAC